GAGCTTGGAATTCTAAAGTTGGTATTAGCATAAAGCAATTGCTTGTTTTTTTGTTTTTTGTTTTTTTAAGGGGTTTTTAGATGGTACTATTCTTCTCCCTTCATCCAACATCTCTACTTTTAATGGCTTTCTTGCTACTGAACCCAATCTGAATCTCTGGCTGTCTTATTGCTTTGCTTTTAGCAGCCTCCCGTCTTTAGTTATTTCTTGGCAATCAGTAATAAAACACATAGAAGCTAAATTTTTAACATGGAATTAACTTAACCAAGAACAAAGGAATTAAATATTTCTCAAAGCTAAATATTACAATAACAACCATACAATATCAAGTGTTAAAAATCCAAAAATCTCGTTATATTATTGGCACCTTTTGTGAGACTTCCAGCCACTGAGGTTTATTAATTACATGTGTTAAGTTTTATGTTCTCTGCTTATTAAAAATGATAAAATACATAGTTATGAGGAAGAGGGTAGATGAAGATATATAGAGGTGTTGGATGATGTGGCAAGTGAGGGTAAGTAAAGTGTTAAACAGGTAAAAAAAAAAAAGAATGGCAAATGATAGGAAAACAATGAAATGAAAAAGATACTTGGCTTCTCAGGGATAGTGTTCAAACTACAACTTTTTGTTCAAACCTGTCAGAGTCTTGTAATACAGCCTTTTATATTTGCTTCTGTGGCAGGCTTATGATTGGGGTGAATCTTAAAACTTCCCTACATGTTTCTGGGGCCTCCTTAGTGCTTTATGCTTTTTTTAGTCTTCCAAATCCCATAAAAGATCAAACTCACAATCTATTTCTGCAGAGGATATAAGCCAGAAGGGTGGTATAACATATTCTTACTCTACTCGTAATTCTCTCATCATTGCTCCCACCAGGACATATTTCCCCTCATTCTCATAGGCCCAAAAAAAAATGAGTGTTTTGTTTTCTAGAGGGATTGTTCTTCTTATTTGCTTTGGCTTTTTACTTGTTCAGCCTGATAATGTTTCTGGTTTAACAAGCATACAGCTTGCTCTTAGATGGGAAAAAGAATTGTTGTTCCCATTTGTCCGAAATTCGCGGATTTTAAAAGTTGTTCCTCTGGAGGATTTGCACCCAAAACAGAGTCTGGCACCAGCTCCTTTGATGAGTTTTGATCCCAATCAGTCCGACAAAAGGAGAGTTCGAAAAGGATCTGATCCCATTCATAACCGATGTTGAGATGCTGGAGCAAAGCAGCAAGGGAGTTTTCCAGCAAAGGATGTGATGGCTTCAGGCTATAACTGATGCAGAGAGAAGAAGCATGGCTTGATTTTTTCTCATCTGTTTTCTCATGCAGTTTGTTGAATTTTTCTTCTAGTTTTGATTTTGTGTTAGTCAATACCTTTTCTCTTTTTTGGTTCCTCCTTAGATCTTTACACCTATAACACATCCATTACCCACCAATTTCCCCCTCTATATCTGTATAAACTTTAGGTTCTAACTAACCAACAGTCAAATGATGCTTTGTTGTGGAATACAAAAATATAGACATCATCAGGTAATTTCCTCTATCAGGAAATACTTTTATGTATTTTCATGTTGGTCACTGATTAGCTTTTTGCATTTCTTAATGAAATATACAGTGGAAGCTTTAGTGCATCCTTTAATTTATTTATTTTTTTTCATCTGAATCTGATGCCCTTGCGACTTTGATCCTCATCTAGGGTAGTCTTTCTA